TGTCTCATGTTCCATACTTTGGTCATTCATGACCCTATCTCCATCTCAGGTTTTTTTTTTTTAAGTTTAAAATTTATTTTTAGAGAGAGGGGAAGGGTGGGAGAAAGAGAGGAAGAAAAACATCAATGTGTGGCTGCCTCTCACGTACCCCTTACTGGGGACCTGGCCTGAAACCCAGGCATGTGCCCTGAGTGGGAATTGAACTGGTGACCCATTGTTTCGCAGGCTGGTGCTCATCTACAGAGCTACACCCACTAGGGCCCCGTCTCAGTTTTTCCATATCTACTTCATTGCTTGTCTTACTGTCATGGTTTGAACTGTGCCCCTCGAAATGTATGTCCACTTGGAGCCTCAGAATAGTCCTGGGGTGTCTCCTGACACCGACTCTGTGGGTTTTCCCCATCATGCCACCTAGTTCTCTGCCAGCAGGTATGTGTGTCCAACAGTCAGTTTGGTTCTGATATTATCTACCTGGAGTTAGCATCACAAAGTAAAAGGCTCAGCCCCACCCCCACTTTATTTATTTTTTTTAAAGATTTTATTTATTTTTAGAGGGAGTGTAAGAAAGGGAGAAAGAGGGAAACATCAATCAGTTGCCTCTCATCCACCCCCCCAACCGGGGACACCCAGGCATGTGCCCTGACAGGGAATCAAACCAGCAACCTTCCAGCTCATAGGCCGGTGCTCAATCCACTGAACCAAGCCAGCTAGAGCGCCAGCCCCACTGTAGACACCGGTCCCAAGTGCTGGGCCACCTGTAGTTCTGACCCACCAGCTATAAATTCAGGGTTCCCAGGACTCCCCCCTCCCTCAGGCTTAATAATTTTCTAGACAGGCTCACAAACCTCAGGACGGTACTTTGATGTTACTGGTTTGTTATAAAGAGTACAAATGAACCACAAGAGAAAAGGGTGCATGGGGCAAGGGCTGGAGAGGCCCTGAGAACAAGAGCTTCTGTCCCCACAAAGTTGGGACATCCTAGCTTCCCGTTGTAGTACCTGGATGTGTTTGCCAGCGTGGTCTTTCTGGAGATGAGCCCCCATCCTAAAGCTACCCAGAGAACCCCACCCTGAGTCACCTTATTGGCATAAACTCAGGTGCAATCGCTAGAGCTTCTTTATGCCCTGGCAGGGTAGTTCAGTGGGTTAGAGCATCATCCCCAATGTGCCAAGGTTGCAGTTAGATCCCTGGTCAGGGCACATGCAAGAATCAACCAATGAATACATGAGTGAGTGGAACAGCCCTGTCTGGTGTGGCTCAGTGGGTTGAATGCCAGCCTGCGAACTGAAAGCTTCCCTGTCAGGGCACATGCCTGGGTTGGGGGCCGGGTCCCCAGTAGGGGGCGTGCGAGAGGCAAGCAATTGGTTTCTTCTGCACATGGATGTTTCTCACCTTGTCTTTCTGCCTCAAATAGATAAATAATCTATCTATCTTTCCCCTCTGCCTGAAAATAGATAAATAATAAACAAGTGGAACAACAAACCAATGTCTCTCTCTCAAAATCAATAAAGTAAATAAATCAAGGGACTCTTTACGAAAAACGAAAGACACACCTATGACTCAGGGAATCCCAAGGGTTATGAGTTCCATGCCAGGAACTGAAGACAAAGACCAAATATATCTCTTAATTGGGACCTTATTTGAAAGCAGGGGCTTTGCAGATGTCATTGAGGTAAGGATGGACACGAAATCAGCCTGGGCTGATGGGTCCCACGAGTCTTCTCGAAAAGCGGAGGACGACACACAGAGACACCGGAAACAGGGCTGGGTGAGGACAAGGGCCCAGACTGAGGCCAGGCGGTCTCGCTAGCGGAGGACACCGCGGGTGCCAGCTGTCACCAGAAGCTGGAAGAAAGACAGGGGTGGAGGGAGCGCATTCTCCTTCAGAGCCTGCATTGCGGCTCCGAAACCCTGCTGACACCTCGATTGATCTGACGTCTGTCTTCCCGAACTGTGAGAGAATGAATTTCTGCTGTTTGAAGCCAGTGGCGATCTGTGGCGATCTGTGATGACGGCCCCGGGAGACCAATATTACTACGACTTCATTAATTTTGTACAAGTTTTTATTTAACTTAAATGTTTTATCACGGTAAGCACTGGTCACTGTAAGGTACTGGCTTTGCAGTGCTGGTGAGGATTTTTCAAAGGACGGCGACAAACAGCCTCTGGCCTGAGTGTCCGGTCCCCATACTCCCCCTACTGGTTGTTTCTCTAAAGTCAGGCCTTCACTGCAGCGCGGCCAGTCGTCCTGAGGGGGTTGGGCAGCTCTGGTGCTGGCGCAGGGACCTGCCTCTCCCAGGAACCCTGGGGTGGCACCCTCACCCACCATGACCCCGAGTCTTCTGATGGTAGCTGATGGGAATCAGGATGTGCACCCGAAATATTTGATTATTTTGAGCTGAAAGAAATTGTGAATCAACAGATGCAGGGAGCTCTCTGCCCTTCTCCTTTCTGCCTGAAATCAGGGAATGCATTTCCCTTTCAGAAGGTGACACGAGTTTCCCTTTGTGAAGGTGTCCCTGCCTGCTGTCCTAGGAAGAGGAGGGTGAATCTCCTCATGGGAGACGGAGACCCGGCACCGAGAGGACAGACCTTACTGTGACACCTCGGCATTCCTCTAGTTTTTCCGTTTATTTCCCAGTCATTTTCCCCACAACTTATAGCCCCTCGAAGCCCAAGTCGCCTTTGTTAAAATGATATATAAGTCCCTGAGTCAAATTGCTTCCTTGAATTTCATTTATTTTCTGTGACTTCCTTTTCTGTAAGTATTAATAAAAATCGTGTGCCTTTTCTCCGGTTGGCCCATTATTTGTTAGTTTAATTCACCAGCCTCAGCCACGGAGCCTAAGAGGGCAGGGGAAAGCTCTCGCCTTCCTGACACAGCAGAGGTCCTGTTTCACAGACAGGACATTGCGACTCAGAGAAGCAGTGACTGGAGGCTGCGGGCTGCAGGCAAGGGGCGGCCGTTCCTTGGAGCCCCGAGGACACGCCTGAAGCGGAGCCTGGGTCTCCTGGACCTTTGCACAGCACCCCTGGCCCTCAGAGCCTAGTTCCCGGCCCTTTCTTTAGGCTTCCAGGTGATGTGGCTCAGGCCAGGGACTGAGGAGACGTGAAAGTCAAGTCCCCCTTGGCCTTTTCATTCCCTGGCTCTCCTCCCCTGTGTCTAATGGGCAACTTACACTCCCGCCAGCCTGAAGGCGTGGGCTGTGTGGGCCCGGGGTCCAGCCTCCTGGTGTTCGGCTGCAGGCTTGGCCTCTGGGTTCCCGGCTTTGTGGGGCTCGGGGAGTGGACCTTGTTCCCTGGCAGACAAATGGCTGCAGCTTCCCTGACTCTGGAGAGAATTGCAGGCCCCTCCCCGCTCTCCCCAACAGCCCAGCACCTCGAGGGGGACCTGTGACAGACTGGGACGAGCCTCCCCTTGAGCAGGCAGCTGCCCGGGAAGTCTGTGGGGGATGATTAGTGAATTTGTGTGGTTAGGAAGTAAAAACCCTCCCTTGAAGGTAACCAGTAACGGGGTGGGGTGTGGGGGCAACCCTCTCTAGTTTCTTCCTGGACAGCTGGCAAGGACCTGGTTAAGCATCTCTGTCCCTGACTTTCCTGGGCCTGCTAAGACACCCAGAATCCCTGGCGCTCTGGCCACCAGGCCTCGAGGGGCGGAGCTTGTCTGCCTCTTCTCTGCCGGTGGCACAGCCCCCACTCACTGCAAAGAGCTTGAGGCTGGAGAGTTCCAGTCTTTCATTCTCAGCTACTCTCAAAGGGCCTCCTTACATGGTCCCCCCCCAAAACCCTGGGGGACACTGCAGCGGGGTAATGACCACTCCAGTCTGTAAGCCCTTCGATTCAGCTATTTTTATTTTTTTTTAAATTTTTGAATGTCATGCAATAATTCACAGTCCCAAGCCCACAGTTTTCAAACAAGGTAGGAAAAAGGCAAAAAGAAGCAAAGGAAATCGGTGGTGGTGTTCTTTTTTTGTTTGTTTTTTCTTTTGTTATTTCGAGCAGGACCAAATGTCAGGAAAAATGCTTCTTTTCTCAACCATTAATTTTTTTGTCCTTTTTAAAATTGTTTATTTTTAAATCGATTTCTGCAGGCAGTAATAGTAGGGTTTGGGATAACCAGCAAGCACTCCTGTGTGTGTCTGAGAACGGGCGCGAGGCGTGAGCGCGTCTGGTGGAGGCCGGTGTGGGACGCTGGGCTGCGCTCTCTCCGCCACACACTGGCCACCAGCTCGCGTTCGCCAGGGGAAGGAAAGATTCAATTGAGATGATAAAACTCATCAATAGAAGCGATTTTTTTCTCCCCGTTTTTCTTTTAAAAATGTTTTTTTTTTTTTTTAAATTTCCATTTTCCCCACGGTTCTCCAAAAATGGCTGAGTGAATTCGAATCCCTTGGCTGTGTGGTTTGTCTGTCCCCACGGCCCCCGCCGTTGGGGGGCCGGGGCTGGGTGGGGGGCGCCGAGGGTTTCCGTGGGACACCCTGGTGTGTCCTGGCCCTGGGGACTCCCTCCAGAGTCCAGGGGCGTCCGGCAGGTCCTCTCCCCGGCTTCCCCCGTGTGCTGGGCAGGTGGCAGCGAGGTGGCCTCGCGGCCGGGCCGCGGCTCCTCCCCGTGGGACGTGTGCGTGGGGTGCGCGGGCGGGGGGGCCGGGCGGGCGCGGGTGCCACCTCGCCCGGGCTTAGCACCAGTCGTCGTCGTCGGTCTCGCTGTAGGCTTCGTGCAGGCCTTTCCGGGGGCCCGGCCCGCGGGGCCTGGCCAGTCCGTGGGCCGGGTAGTAGCCGTTGGGGAGTCGCCGGCCGTGCCGAGGAGGCGACGCGCAGGCAGGGCCCGCGGCCCGAGGAGTCCTGGGCGAGCACGTGTGTCGCGCGGGGGGCGGTGCGTCGTAGGGCGCATGGTCCCCGACCCCGCCGGGGCCGTCGGCCTCGTCGTAGTCGGAGCCCCGGTAGTAACCGCGGTGGCGGGGGCCCGGGGACCACTCGGAGGCGTGCGCGACAGACGTTGGCCACCGCGTCCCGCCTTGGCGACAGGCCCTGGGGGACTCGCTCCGGGCCGGGCCCCGACGCTCCATCGCCGGTGAGCGGCTGCTGCTGTGTCCCCCCTGCGGCCGCTCCGCTGCCAGAGGCTCGGCTGCGGCGCCCGGGTACCTCCGCGGGCCGCTGGGGGCCGTCCGGCCAGGCCGCGCCACCTGCTGCTGCGGGGGCCCCGAGCCTCCGGGCTTGCGGATCACAGGGGAATAGGACACGTGTGGCCGGGGAGTGGAGGGGGTCTGGGGGAGCTGGCGGCGGCCCCGCCGCGGAGTGCTGGTACCAGATGTTGAGGGGGCTGGGCTTCCACTTACGGAACTACTGCCCTACACGAAAATTGAAACAAAGGAAATCAAAAAAAAAGATACAACAAAATCAACCAGAAGGAGACAGGAGGAGACACGGGGCGGGGGGGGGGGCAAAGGAAAACCAAAGGAGGGCAGGAGTGGGGCCAGGAGGGGGAGGAGGGGGTGGGGGACACAGGACATTTGAATGGAAAAAAAGAAAAAAAAGCAACAGCCACAGGGAGGAAGAGGAGGGGGAACAGAAGGAGAAGGGGGGAGGGGAGGAGGGAGAGAGACAAGGAGGGCAGGGGAAGTAAAAAACCAACAGAACAAAGTGAAAAGAGAAATGAGAAATGGAGTTTTGTAAGTTTCGGGGTTAAAATAGCAGAAGTTTCAAAAATTACTCACAGGCGTCCAGAGGACAGAAATCATAATTGGAACAAAAACGGAAGCCGGGTTAAAGGAAAGCAAAAGGCAGCAGGGAGCCAGGGCTGCAATGAGCCGTAAGGGTCGGGCCGAACTCAGACGTGATCCACAACCAAAGAGGAAGCAGCGGCAGGCAGGAGCGGGTGGCAGGCGGGCAGGGGGCTGGGGGGCGGGCGGAGCGGCAGGAGGCAGTGTCCATCCTGGCCTAGGTCGCCCCTTGGCTTGGGAAGGGACCCAGTGGTAGGCAGGGTCAGAGATTACAGTGGGGAGCGAGGACCCTGCCCAGAGTGGCTGTGGGGTGTGGGCCCCCCCTCCTGGTTCTCCATGGCTTGGTCTGGGGGCAACCCCTGCCACACCCACCTGCCGGTGTGCCATGTGCTCGGGGCCCTCGCTGGGCGAGCGGGACCATCGCTGGTCCCGGGCCCGGGCCCGGTGTTCGGGCCGCTCTTGGGCATAGCGCTCCTTGTCAGGGGGCGGGTGGTGGTGGTGGTGGTGGTGGTGGTGGTGCTGCCGGTGCTTCCGGTCCTTGGGTCGGCCCCGCTCCTGGTCACGCTCCTTCGATGGCAGGTCCCCAGACTGGGTGGTCATGCTCAGGTCTGTCCCCAAGCCTAGGCCGGAAGAGGGTCGCACAGACAGGAGGCCGTGAGGTGGGGCTGGACATGCACACGGGAGGCCACCGAGGGGGCCCCAGAGAGCAGCGCCTTCCTCTGGACCAAGGGGGACCCAGTGGGTGCCGGGAGTCCGGTCTCCAGGCCCCCTTGGCCCAGCTTGGTTCCGTCCAGGCCTCCTCTTGTAGCAGGTCTACCACCTCTGCCTTCTCTCCCCTCCCCTGTCCCCTGGTTCCCCTGGTTCCTGGACCGTGTCAGGTGACGCACCTGTGTCCACGTCCGTGTAGCGGCCCAGGGAGCGCTCGGAGGCTCGGTGGCCACGGTCACGGCGCCGCTGGTGGTGCCGCTGGTTTTCTTCAGGGGGCACCCTCTCCAAGGAGTAGTCGTCCAGGCGCCTGGCCTTGGGGCCCAGCACAGAGGCCGAGCGCTTCATAGGGCTTGTGTCTGAGATGGTCTGGGGAGGACAGGTCGGCGGGCTGGAGTCAGCGGCTGGTACCAAGGGGACCTGGTCTGTCTGGCCCCATCAGCCGTCAGAGGTGAGCTATGACCACCCAGGGGTCAGGGGGCTTGGCTCCTGATGAGCCAGGGCCCCGGGGATGCCTGCGTCCCCTCCCAGGCCCATCCTGGTTTCTGGCCAGGAGGCTCTCTCTGTTTGATCCACCGCCACCGCTTTTCAGGACCATCCCCAGGGGCACCTCCAGGCCTCGGTGTCCAGCCATGGACACGCAGCCTGGCTGGAGAAAGCAGCTTTGCTCAATCCCGAGTGCAAACATGGGAGGCCGGGTGCTGGGCGGTACGCCCTGCCCACACCCCTGCCTGTTCTCCTGGAGGGTGAGAAGCCTGTCTCTTGGGCTGTCAGGCCTACAGGCTCGGGGACCAGGCACCAGCACCCCTGCTCACTGTCCTCCTTGGCGGGGGGGGGGGGTCTGAGCTTTCCTGCCCGTTTGAGGGGCTACCCTGGCACTCGAGGTCCCGGGTGACCTTCCTTCTCATCCTTGGCCTGCAGCCCAGGAACCTGTGAGCGCTGCACCCCCCGGGGTCAAGCCCTGGAGAGAGAGGCCTGTGGTGGTTCTCTGCGGCTGGGAGAGGAGAGGACAGGGTGGACATGCCCTAGGGCTCAGTCCAGCTGAGTGCTGGGTGGCACTGCCCTAGGCGGGGGTTTTGAGGGACACAGGGCTGTACCAGAGGGTCAGGGATGGTCAGGGAAATGAGAAAGAGCAGGCTGCCCCCAGGTGTGTCTGGGGGAGCAGGTCAGGATTCTTGAAACAACGGACTCCTGGCTTGGGCTCTGAACAGAAGGGGTGGAGCAGGGGGAGGAAGGGGGGTGAGATAGGTGGAGCAGGGCCACCCCCAGGGCACATGTGGGGCACACAGATAACAGAATGCGTGAGGATAGGGCTCCACAGGGTGGGGGGTTGTCTGCAAAGAAAGGGTGGGATCTGGGAGGGCAGAGATGACAGACTCCCTCGAGGGGGGGTGGGCGGGAAGAGGGGGCCGGAGCCCAGCTGGGTGGCAGGAGGGCGGTACATACACTGAGGTTATTCCCACGTGGCCGGCCCCTTCTCCTCTGTCACAGCCCCACGGGATGGTGCACACAGAAAAAACAGAAAGAAGAAAATAAATATAAAAGCCAAGAGAGGGAGAGAGAGGTGGTGCATGAACCTGAGGAGTGAGGGGGGATGGAAGGAGGAAAAGAGGTTAAAGTCCCTGGTAAGTGGGTGACCTCTGGCCGGGCTGGAGGTCCTTCCAGGGGCACAGAGGAGACAAACAGGAGACACCATAGACAGACAGATGGCAGAGGCACGAGACGGACAGATGGGACGGTGTGGCCTCAGGCCTCTGGCCCCGGGCTCTGCCTCAGGCGGTGCCTCCAGCCCTGGCTCTGGCTGACACTCAAAGCTGAGGGGCGGGGGCAACTCGGAGGGGTGGCCGTCAGCTGGGTTTGTCCCAACCCTCTTCTGGGGCCCAGCAGCTAAGTCCTGGGGGGCACAGGCTGGCAGGATGGGGCTGGGCAGCCACATGCAGGCTGGGTGCTTCTCGCCCGAGGCCTCAGCAGCCAGAGGCCCGGCCCCTAGGTGACCCTGGCCCAGCCAGACAGCGCAGCCTCCCACCCCGTGCAGACGACCCAGCGCAGCACTAGGGCAGCCTTCCACAGTCAGACATGCTGCCCCACCCAGGCGGGCGGCCAGCCATGCTTCCGGCTTCAGTCCCCGTGGGCCTGGAGCAGTGGAATCCGAGTACCCTCCCCGGTTCCCAGGGCCCTGCAGCTGGGAAAAGCAGCCACACACAGACACACACCCGGCACACACCCCTGCCCCTCACCTTCCCCAGCAGCCCCCACAGAAACCAGACAGGACAAACCCCAGCTGTTCCAGGCCCGTCCCAGGCCTGCCTCAGACTCTGCCACCAGGTCCTAGGACCTGCCGGGACCCTGGGAGCAGATGCACCCGTGCATGTGTGTGCACGTGTATGAGTGCCTGTGTGCACATATGTGCTTGTGCTCTTGATTGCAGTCTCATAAGTCACCTTTACACACCCATGTGTCCTCCATGTTGTCCGGCGTCAGCACCCCCAAACAGGGCAGAGCCAAACCGTTCGGCAGTGGCTACTGCATCCTGTCCCAGGGGAGCCCCTTTCTCTCTGCCCTTCATCGGAGGAGATCAGATGACCAGACCCCCAGATGCCCCCGCTGTAGCCAGGCAGGGCCTGCTTGCTGCTGCCGAGGGCACAAGAGACCCCAGCCTGACCAGGGGCTGCAGAAGGAAGGAGACTCCCTGGGCTCAGGGAGGCAGGTCCACTTCGGGGCGGTGGGTAAAAGCCCTCACCTGGTTCTCTGCAGGGAGGCGGGGCATGGAGGCAGCTCGGGCCTGGCCTTCCATGGGGAGGTAGTGCTCACTGTCCGAGTAGCCATCTCGGCCCATCTCTCGCATCTCCACAGACTGCAGGGCAGATGGCAAGGCTGGGTGAGCCCCGGGGCTGGATCCATGGGCCCCAGGGGCAGCCTGATGTGCACGGAGCCCCAGCCCCCACCCTCCTGTACCGCTGGGTGGGGGCAGTGGGAGGACAGAGGCACCTGAGAGTTGGGCTGGCTGCTGGGCATGTCAGTTGGCGGCCCCCGCTCCGGGCTCCAGGTGCCCGTCTTCTGGAACATCTCCTGGGCTCGCTGCGTCACCCAGGAAGGGCTCTCTTTGATGCCACCTTCGTGAGCCATCCTGCATGTGACACACAGGCCAGGGTAGCAGTGGGCCCTCCAGAGGCCTCTGTGTCTGGGATTGGTACCCCCTGACCTTCCCGACCCCAACTCCGAGCCAGAGTGACACTCACAGGCCTCCTCCTGGGTCCAGCTGGGTGGAGGGCAGGGCGTTCTGGCCCGGCACCCCCTCCTGTGTTGGTGACGGGGGCTCCATGCGCTGGAACATGAGAGGTGTTCGGTTCTGGGGGGCAGAGAGCAGTATGTGTGTACGTGGGGGGGGTGAGTAGGGACATGTGGGGGAGACTGTAGGGGACACATACTCAGGTCTCAGCCATTTGTCAGCCCACTAGCCCCTTTCTTCCAAATTTACCCAGAACTGGATCACTTCTCATGCCTGCGTGGCCCCCTCCAAGGTCCGGCCCCCTAATGCCCCACCTGAACCAATGCTCTCAGCTCCAGCCCTTACTCCCCATGGCCGCCAGAGGGCAAGAACCAAGCCCTGTACCAAGTCACCTCACTCCTCTAGTGAGCAGCCCCCTTACTCAGAGCAAAAGTCAGAGTTCTCCCCGTGGGCCGCATAATCAATGTGTCTCCTCCCACGGACCCTGTTGCTTGTTCTGTTCTGCCATGTGACCTTGCTGTTACCCAAACTCAAACTCGCAGTTCTGCCTCAGGGCTGTTCCCTCTGCCCAGAGTGTTCTTCCCTGAGGTACCTTCTCAGCTCATGCTCTTTCGTCTTCCTTCAAATCTCTGCTCAGAAGTCACCTCCTCAGGGAGGCGTCCCCCGACTACCCTTTCCAGGTCACGCCCCTGTCCCCAGGCAGTCTTTCTCCTGTGCTGATTGTGTGCTGCTGAGCTCTATCATTCAGTCACTTGTCACTATTGGCGTTTCTCAACTGGGCTTCTGGTCTGTTCTGCTCACAGCTGCACCCCAGGGCTGAGAACAGCACCCGACACACAGAGGACACCCCAGAAATGTCGGCGGAGCAGAGGAATTAATACAGGTTACATCTGATCTCTTCAGCACAGCCTTACTTTTCAATGACCTGCCCTGGGACCTGGCCACACCCCCCTGTTCTGGATGGTTCTCTCATGGTGACAAGGCTGCTATGGTCTCCCAGCCTGGGCGACCGCAGAGGGAAGAACATTGGAGAGCGCCGTCGAGGCCTGGGCCGTACCTGCTCCTCACGCATGGCCTGCAGCTTCTTGGCTTTGCTCTGCCGGTAGTACTCCATGATCATCATGGCCGCGTAGATCTTCCCCACCGTCAGGTCCGTGGCTGGGGGCACAGAGTGAGCTCACTGTGGACGGGGGCCCCTGTCTGCACCAGTCTCCCAACCCTGTGCCTCCTCTTTCTCTCCCACTCTGTCCTGGCAGACTGAGGCCTGGGGCTAGGCCAGTCTGGGCTCTTACACTTATGAGGGGTGACCAGCAGGTCCAGCGTTTTCTGGGACAGGTTGGGCCAGATGGCCATCATCTCTTTCCGTAGCTCGGCGTCCATCTGCTGTTTGTCGGCCCCTCCTGCAATGTGGGCACAGGGAGCCCCTGAGTGCCGGCCTGAGCACCCGCCAGCTTCTAGGGCAGCCACCAAGCCAGCAGCTCCTGTCCACCCAGTGCCCCGAGGGGCTGGCCCAGAGGAAGATTGACCATAGGGGCTCTGGTCCTCATCGGGGACAGGGCTGTGGAGCAGGTGTGTGGGGACAGTCCACATCGAGAGGGGCTGGATGGTCCAAGTCAAAACCTGACTGCCATCTGTGCAACTTAGGTGTTAGTCTCCTGCTCTGTGCCTCAGTCTCTCCGCCTGAGAAACGGGGATAAGGGCAATGGTACCTGCCTCACTGACTTGTCTGATGATTATATTAGTTAATGAGTGTCCAGCCTCAGGACAGCGTCTGTGGTAGAGCCAACCGTTGCCACGGCAGCCCATCGGCCTGGGGAACAGTTCTGACACAGAGGGTTTCCCCTCAACCAATTCTCCTCTTACCACTGATATGACCTTTGGCCATTGCCGATCCCTGGTCCCTCACCCCTGTCATGGTGGTCATTTTGCCAGTGATTCCTGGTCCCACTGATTTCTGCCTAAGTACACGGTATCATGACACACACTGACCCAGTCGGTGGGTGGGCCCATGTGATGAGTTCTTGCCAATGGGGCATGAGAAGAGCGAAGTGTCACTTTGATGGCCAGTGAATGACCGTCCTGGGTTCTCTTTCACTGTCATGATGGTTGGTGACATTAGGTACAGTGGCTCTCTCAGGCCTGGCCCTTAAGTGACTGAGGAATAGAGTCCCTTTGCCAACCCAGGAAGGACACATTAATGGGAGTGGGAATTAAGCCTTCATTGGTGTGAGGCTATGGCGCTATTTGTTACGGCAGCACATTCTCGTCTGTCCTGAGCAGCTGCTCTGCCCAGGCAGCCCCGACGTCCCGTCTTGGCCTCTCCTCTCTGAGCTTTCCCCACATCTTTCCCCAGGTCCAGCCTGGAGCTACCTCTGACAGCTCCGCCCAGCTTCTTCTCAGCAGATGTGGGTCAAAGCACAGAAATCTGCCAGGCATTCTGCAGAACTTTCATTTATTTTTGCCCACCAGCGATGGATTAGAGACAGGTGCCTTTATTTTGTGAAAAATCCTCCTAAAGGGCCTTTTTGCAGGTTAAGCTCAGAGGACATTGGGGCAACCGGAAGTAGAACTGCCTGGACCAGCGCAGTTGCCTCTGCCTGGGTCTGCTGTCCCTCCTACAGCCACCAGAGGGCACCTCTGAGCACCTGAGTCAGTTGGGTGGCTCTTCTGCTCAGAGCGTGCCTCTGTCTCTGCCTTGTGCAGGGTGATCGCCCAAGTTCACAGGGTTCTGCACAACCTGCCCTCGTCTCCTCTACTTCCCCCTCACTCAGTTCCAACCACACTGACCTTCTCACTGCTCCTCACACATTCCAGGCAAGGTCTCCTTCAGGGCCTTTGCATGGGCTGTCTTCGGCCAGGATCATTCTTTCTACAAATATCCACATGGCTCCCTTCCTCCTTCAGTCCCTGCCCCCACCCTTTATCAGAGAAGCTTTCTAGCTCCCCCGCCCTACTTAAAATAGCCAGCCTCTCATCACCTTCCATGCCTTTCCCTGGCTTTCTTCTTCTCTGTACTTATCATGTTGCTGTTTCCCATCTCACCCACTAGAGGGCGTGTTCCAGGGTCTGGTCTTCCTTTTCACCACCTGATGCAGGGAACTGTGGTCACCAGGGGTGGTGCTGCAGGAGGTGGAGCTGATCTGTGGCCCTGCCACAGTTGGGAGGTCAAGACTATCGTGGGAGACCCTTGGGAAAATCCCCTGTATCTGAGCTCAGGACCCTCGGCACCAACCGATGACAGATTTTCTTTCTTCACAGGAAGCAGTTGGGAGTATGAGCTGTGTCTATTGTCCACTCTAGCTAATGAGTGTCCAGGGGGATCCTTCTCAGACAGAAAGGGAAAGAAGAGAATGTGATATTTCCTGTTAAAAGTCACTTTCTCTTTACAGCGTAGATGTTCCTGTTTCTAGTGCAAAAACAGAAGACACCTGCTGTTATGGACGGAACTGTGTCCCTCCAGAATTCCCGTTGAAGCCCTCAGCTGCGATGTGAATGTATTTGGAGCTGGGGGCCTTCAGGAGGTGGCTGAAGTTACAGGAGGGCAGACGGGGGTCTTTAATCCAGCACCACTAGTTCCTGAGAGGCAGTGACACCAGGGCTGTGTGTGCAGCAAGAAGGCGGTGGGCCGCCTGCAAGCCCTGGAGAGAGACCTCAGGGAAAACCAATCCTGGCAGCACCTTGAACCTGGACTTTGAGCTTCCAGAAATGTGAGAAAATAAATTCCTCTCGGTTAAGCCGCCCAGCCTCTGTTATTTTGTTACAGCCACCTGAGCTAATTCAGACTCCTGTTCTTGGCTTCTGACGTAGGTAGGGGATTCTGGGCAGGGTTCCTGGGCCTCAGTCAGCACTGCCGACACTTGAGGGCAGGTCTCCGATGGTGGGGCTGTCCTGTGCACTGGAGGATGTTGAGCAGCACCTCCTTTCCCAAGCGCTGACACCAAACCTGTCCCCATATGTTGCCAACTGTCCCCTGGAGAACCAAACCACCACTTTAGCTTCTTTCTGCTTCAATTCACCGGGAAGCCTGGCACTCAGGATTGTCACATGTGAACAAAAGGAGAACCTCAGAGGTTGCCTCGCTGGGGTTACGGGGTTCCCTCAAGGTAGAACCCCAAGTTTATTCCTCCTCTGGGTACATAATTGTCAATACCAGGGCTCCTTGGCACAGAGGGTCCCCCTGTGCACAGGCAACAGTAACCCATGGACTCTCAGTGTCCCAGAGTTTGTCACCCAAGGGTCCTCCCTTCTGCCATCTCATTCTGCAGGCTTTGGGGTGAAGAGCCCCTGTAGTGGGTCCTGTCCTGCACACTCTGGGACATTCGGCGACCTCAGCGTCCTGGCCTCTGTGCACCAGATGCCACTAGCACCAGGCCCCCTCAGCCGTGACAATCAAAAACATCTCCAGGCACTGCCCAGTGGCTGGGAACACGATGGCCACTGGTTGAGAAATGCTGGCTTAAGGTCTAGCCCCTGACCTTGCTCCCTAGCCCCTGGCCCTGCTATCTCTTTTCCCACAGTATTTTCCCACCTTTGAACGTGTTGCTCATTCGACTCAGGGTCTTTGTTGTTTGTCACCTGTTTCCCTGCAGCCCCTCGGGAGGTTCATCCCTCCTTCGCCGCCCTGCTTCACGTGCTGAGGACAGGGCGGGGCTCGCAGCAGACCTGCGATGCACGCGCTCACTCGACGAGCCTCTGCCAACATGGTTGCCCGGTTCAGGCAGACGGCAAAGTGCCGGAACACCCCTCTGTGGTTCAGGCAGGTCAAAGCCCCTCAAGCCCCATGATGCCCACCTAGAACCTTCAGGGCCGCTGAAGACCCCACCTCCAGAGCCTGGTCTTTGAGGGATTAGAGGACAAGACAGTGCCCTTCGGCTGCTCGGCCCTGTGGAGTCCAGGAGGAGAGTGTGGGCTGGCCCTGGGTGGGGTCTGTCAGGCCCTGGGTGGGGTCTGTCAGGCCCTGGGTGGGGTCTGTCTGGACTTGGCCCTTTCTATGGCAATGGCAAGAGGCGTGTCTTTCGAACCAGTGGCATGGCAGGGCTGAGGATGGGCACAGAGGGTGCCAGGCAGGCGTGAGGACGTCTGGCACTAGTTCAGGCACTCCCCACAGCTTCTGGTGTGCTGGCCCCCTCCCTCTGAAGATGCCCTCCAGTAGCCGACGCTGCCCAGCTCTCTGCCTACCTCCCCGCCCTCCCCCCCGTCAGTCCCCTCTGATGCTGGCGTGGCCCAAGTTGGGTCTGTGGTGCTCTTTCAGGTCACATGCATCTCCCTGGAGAGCCTGTCCAGGTCCCTGGCTTAAAATCTGTCAGCATCTGGTGTCTCCTGACTTTCATCTTCAGCCCAGCCTGAAGCCTCTTCACCTCGCCCCCTTCAGAACCTTCTTAGGGGCCGTGTACCCACTAAAAGTGTCAGCTGGAGTCCCCTGCTTATCCGTGTCACACGTGCCTCAGCCAACGCTGCCCTCGTGCCCTCCCTTTGCCCCTGACCTGCCCCTCTTGCCTCTTCCCTATCTCAGGCAGTGGCCCCAACCCCTGAGGGTGGCCTTGACTTCTCCCTCTCTCCTGCGCATGTCCAGTCCCTTGGTTATCTGGTTGGCTCGGCTCCCAGGAAATATTCAGAATCCGAACACTCCCCACACGCTCAGTCTGAGCCACCTTCCTGTGTTCACCTGGATTAGGATGGTGGCTTCCACTCTGGCCTCTTCCCTGAATGCTCCGTGGCACCCCCTTCACTCAGTCGGCAAGTCAGTTCCAATACAGCCCCAGGTGGCCTCCTACCTCAGACCTTTTGCACCTGCTGGCCCCTCTGCCTGGGGCACTTTCCCCCTAGGTATCCATGTGACTCTTCACCTCACCTCCTCCAGAGCCTCTGAGTGCAGGCCTCTTCTACTGGAATCGTAAGCTGCTATGTCCCCACGTTTAGAGAGGTGGCCGGTGCACTCAGTGTTTGCCGAGCAAGGGAGTGCATGAGCAAATGAAGGTCCGGACGGGGCAGTGGGGGCGACCCTCAGCTGGCCGCTGTCCAGCCCTCGGAGGCTGCCTGCACCCTGCCCTACCCCTCGGCTCCCACCCCGGCCCCTCTTACCCTTGGCAATCTTGATGTCCAGGGCTGTGCGGATCAGAGCCATGAGGGTAGAATTGAAGTGGACAGTGTTGTCATCGGCGACAGGCAGATCCATTCGCAGGAGCCTCTGCGGAAAACCAGAGGGGAGGGCAGTCATTCTCAAGCACCATTCCCGGTCCCCCGTGAGCCAGGCCCACCCCACCTGAGGAGCTCCAGGAAGAACTCTGCAAAGCAGCAGCTAAGGCGCCCCCACCCTCAGGTTACCCGTCCCAGTGTTTCATTTCCCCACGTCCCTCGGTGGCCCACAGGAAGGGCACCGAGGGCTCTCCCATGCAGGAAGCCCCTGCCCCTTCCTCTCCCGCATGCTAGACCCCAGAGTTGGCAATTCCAGGGTGGGCCCAGATCCTCGCCCTGCCCCAGAGTTCTCCTGGAAGGCTCCGTTCCGTTCTGACCCCACAGAAGCAGCGCACGGGCCGGATCAGAGCAGACATGCAAGAGCCAGGCAGAGGGTCCACAGCCGCGACCATCTGGGGGCCGCTGGCTCCCCGCCCCACCCCCCACCTGGCCCAGACCAGACCAGACAGGCACAGACCACATCACTTCTCTGAGAAGCAGCAGGCAGGCGGCCCCCCGCGGATGGGGTGGGCCCCTCGCAGACATGCAGCGAGGTCAGGCCATACACACAGAACAGCAGACGGGCACATGCGGACGGAATCTCGAGACTCATTCATAGCTCCGTGGGAAGGATCTCAGGGCATGTCTGCATCCTGGCTCTGTGTGACGGTGGGGGGGGGGCTGGGGGCGCTCCCGTGTCCCAGGCAGGGGCTCTCCCCTGTGCTCAGTGATGTGGAGAGAATAGGAGGCTGGTGGGCCCAGCCCAGGCTGAGGTGGCACGCACGGACACGGGGTCGAGGGTGATTCTGGGGCTCACGTGGGCCTTCAGACACATGTCAGCAGCAAACACAGGGATGGACGAGGGGAGAGGGGTGGCACACCCAGGGCAGAGCACAAGAGATGGGTTGGGGCGGGAGGCAGGAGAGAGAAACACACGGACCAGGCCGAGGCACACACTGGGCGGGCTGCGCGCCGCGCCGGGGTCCCTGCCTCAGAAATCACAGATTTGTGCATTTAAAGGACGACGTCCCGCCTGCCAGCAGAAAAGTGTCTACTTCTCACCGCACAGACAAAGTGTTCTGTGGAAAAGGTGCTCTTTTCAAATTTGCACAAAGGTACCTTATGGATCCATGGTGGCCCTGCACAGAGGCCGGGAAGGGACGGGCACACAGATTCGCACACACTCAGGCAAGGTGAGGCCAAGAGAAGGATAAGAGGACAACTACAGACAGAGACAGGCGCAGGGATCTCTGGGATGCTGGTGGCGCGGCCCTGCCCAGCCTGGACTGGGAAGGCGGGGTGCACGGAGGGCGGAGGAGGAATGAAGCTGCGGGAAGGCCGCCACAGAAGGCAGGAAGGGATGGCAGTGGGCAGTGACAGACAGGGAGGGGGGCCAGGGTGGATGGGAGAATGGGATGATGGAGTAATCTCTTTTTAGGGGGTACGTTAAAGGTTAAAGGTCAAAGGTCACCCCGGAACTGGTTCCGGATGAGTTGGAGAAAACAGAGCATCTGTCCTCGGGCGCCAAGGGAGATTCCGGGACAGGGGTCTAGAGAGGTGGCCTGGGCCAGCCGCCTGGCGGCAGGGCCCTTGCTCCTCCAGCCAGCATGCACCCCCCCACCGCACCCCCGGTCGGCCATGGCGCCTGCCCGCCCCAGGCTCCCGCCAAGGCAGCGTGCATGGCCTGCGTCAGGGTGCCACGGTCCAGGGGTCCAGCTGCGGCCCGCCTGCCCACTCTGGAACAATGGAGAGGCATAGTGGGGTGTCTCGGGGGGTGCAGATGGGAGGCATTGGGACGGGGGCTGGGGACACAACTCCAGAGGGGAGGAGGGCGTGGGGAGGGGAGGCTGTGGGTACCCCTCAGGAGGTCTTGGATCCCCCAAGGCCCGAGGTCAGAGATCAGCTTCAGGTGTGCAGGGTCAGGGGCACTTCTGGACCTGGGAGTTCCAGATAACAAAAGATGGGGCCAGGGTCTCGCCTTTTTGGGCGCAAAAAGCCCTCTGCCAACAAAAGGTACCTGCCCCGGCCTGGGAGTGGGGGCCGCTCTGGGTGGACAGAAAGGAGGCACATTGGCGATACTCCCTGAAGTGTGTTTGTGTCCAATTTGGTTCCCAGAGGACCAGGTGCGAGGGGACTGGGGCTCCCCCCCTCCCCCCGCATGTCGGCCATAATGGAGTCTCAAAACACCAGACACACTCATCAGGAAGGACGGACACAGTGTGCTCCTTAGAGTCAAGGAGTGGTCATGACCCGTGTACTCGAGGAGGAAAGGAAAGAAAAAAAGAAAAAAATAGAAAGAAGAGGAGCGCTGGAGAAGGAGACGGGGCTGGTTGTTCCTGGCCAGCACTGGGGACGCCCCAGTGCGACGTCGGTGGTCAGCAAAGGTAATCTACCTTGTAAGCCACTCTGGCCGGACACTTCTTCCCCAGACCCAGGGGCGGAGACATGTGTCTCAGCATCTGATACATGTCCGGGTAAGGCATGCGGCCCCTGGCAGCACCGAAAACAAGAACGGGAGTGGGGACGGAGAACCAAAGGGAGGGCGG